TTAAAATATATGAACTAAAGTCGTCAATCAATTGACGACTCCAATATAAATAAATTCAACTAAAATCGTTAATCAATTAGTAATTGTTGGAAGTCTCACATTTTTCGCCTCATATCATTTGTTATGATTTAAATTCATATTAGCTACTCTATATATTGCTAATTAGTTTTATGTTGGAACTTTAATGTGATATTAAAATCAAAGTCTAACATCTTTTCGATTATTATCTTGGGTTAAAAATACCATTTGTCTAGATCCAATGAGACTTCGTTGGAAGAAACGTGTTGAAACCTTAGGAGAGATTTTAATATTAACAAAAAATAAAACTAAAGTTATCATTTAAAAAATAACTTGAATAAAAAAAATTATACTAATGTGATGTATTCAAATATGACTTTAAAAAAATATATATATGAAAAAGTCATATATATGATTTCTATTTGAAAAAGCTAAAGTCGTCTTTTAGAGTCCGACCCCTTCATATGAAATTATATTTGAATGCACAAACTCATTTATAATTGGAAATTTTTTAGAAATTTACCTTGGGAATAAAAAAAGCAAATTACACTAAGATGAGAAATTGGCAAAAAATGGCACTTCCAAATTTGTTTTAGGATAGAATAGAATCAAATTGTAAATCAGCCGTGTCTAGGTCTTTTGAAGACTTCTGTTATGTATTATTCCAACACCTGGCAATGATTTTTTTTCAATAAGAAAGATGAATTTGATGATGATGTCAGAATAGTTTTTGGCGAAGCTTTGTTGGTTTGTTCTCCTCTTTGGCAAATAAGGTAATGTGCTTGAAACCAAAATATTATGAGTTTACTTTTGTAAAATTATCATTGTACTTCTTTTTATTCATCAATAAACTCCTCTTTCTGCATATTCTACTTTTTCTTCTACAACTGATTTGTTATTCACTGCCCCTTGTTATTACAAAAATTGTGTTATTTTTTTGGTAAACTGAACTTGTACAATCACAATGTGTACCTACACCTTGACATTTATGATTTAAATTTTATATTTGAACAAAAGATATAAAATATTCTAAAGATAAAATAAGCCTATTAGATAAGTGTGTAGATGAAACTAAAATAACCTTGTTCGTATTTTTTTTTTTTAGAAACTGAGCACAGTTCCTTTACACTTAGTCCTAATAACTTTGAATAAAAATCAATTTAGATGGAGGGAGATAAAGACCATCTGCACAAAGTTGTAAAAACCTGCTGGATGTATTTGAATTGGTAGCAAAAGAAGAAGCACATGACTTGATTTGTTGTACCTGTTTGTGTACAGCCAACCAACAATGTCTGTTTGTAGGAAGTAGATTAAGGTTACACAATCTAAAGTCAGTCTGTTTGTTTTTAATTTATCAAGCGTGTTAAGATCTTAGCTTGCTCAAATATTTGAGAGAAGACAAATGCACCTTTTTCATTATTTTAGCTTGTAGTCTTGAGTTAGATTTTGATATTCACTCCTTTAGAAAATAAAAGGTTATAATCTATCCTCCATTTAATGGAGGAGCGATTTTATGTTGAGAACAGGTTAGAAAAAAACAATCCATTCTAATAATATAATAATATCATTAATATTAATGGAATACATGAGAACTTCACCTGATAACAAAACTTTGATATGATGGTACAGGCATGCATATTAATTTTAATTATATATATATATATATATAATATTATTTAATATATAGAAATAATAATTCAATTAAATAATAGTTTTTTTGGTGAATTTTGATTATACAGAAACAAACATTAAAAATAAAATATTTTTTATATAAAATTTAAATATCTAATCAAATAACGCTTGAGAAAATTAAGTGGTTTTGATTTAAGAAATTAAAATGTAATAATGACTGTTACTTTTTTTTAATAGATAAGTGTGTGACTATTAATTTCTGATTTATTAAATAATTAAATTATTTTATTTTGTAAAAATAAAATAATTTATATGTTGATAAGAAAACGGTTTAAAAAATAATTTTTTTATATAATGATTCAAACAAGAATAATACATATCATTATTTTTCACTTTTTTTTCTTGTTCTTGAACATGTAATAAATAAGTAATTTATATCAAGTCTTTTTAAATCTTAACTTGAGTAGCATTCACAACATTTATCTAAATTTATTAATATATAAAAACAATTTCTTCTTACTAATTAGAAGAAATTTTCTTTTAAATTTGAAATTACAATTATTTTATTTTAAAATTCGAATATCATCTTAAAAAATTCCAATCCATCTTAACTGAAACTTTGTTCCTATTAAAAATAATTTTGTTATTTTTTTAAAAAGGTTGAGAGTAAAGAGATGATGGATCTTCTTCCATAGTCGGGTTATGGGCCTTATTCATTCTGTGGAAGCGCAACCATATAAAGCGCCCGTCTCCCGCACATTCCTCTCTGCTTGTCGATTGCAACGTTGAGAAATGAATCAGAAATGAAAGACTTTTGAAAATGTGCATATTTCGTTTCGTCGTGGTTAGTTGCTCTCACTTCTAAGTCCTATTAGGGTTTTTGTTTATTGCTTCTCTAAACAATAGATCGTTTTCTTATTTTGATATTGAATACGATGAAGATGAATAATCTCTTATGTTGCAGATCCTGGTCAAATAATTGCCCGGTTTAACGCCGAAGGTGGTTATTTGTTACTGGATTTGATGTTTCCCTTACTCATCTGAGATCTTCTTTATCAAATTATTTTTTAATTTATTCATTTTTCGTAAAAAAATATGTCCAACGTTTATATGGATTGTTATGAAGTTTTGATGTGGTGATAGGAAAATTGAAATTATTATTATTATTATTATTATTATTATTATGTTGTTGTTGTTGTTGTTGTTGTTGTTGGTGTTGTTGTTAACGGGGCAGTGGTGGAAAATGATGAATATAGCAGGTACTTCTGATGACACAAATAGTGTTGTTTGTTCTCCTGGTGCAGCCAACTCGGTTGTGCCGAGCATTGCACTGTGTATGTGTCTGGGTGAATTACATTAACATCTGCAACTGATTTATGATTCACTGCCCCTTGTTATTACACAAATTTTGTTTTGGTAAACTGAACTTGTGCAATCACAATGCGTACCTACACCTTGAAATTTATGGTTTAAATTTTATATGTTAACAACAGGTATAAAATATTCTAATGTAAACTTATTTGATAAGTGTGCAGATGAAACTAAAACAACCTTCTTAGTACTTTTTAGAAACTGAGCACAGTTCGTTTAAACTTAGTCCGATTCCTAGACTGGATTGACCTTCACTGAATGAGTTATACGCTTCCACAAGCTGATTCGTGCCAGAGTTTTTTTTTTTTTTTTTTTTTTTTCAAGTTTAAAATTTGAATAAGTGTACATCCTTTTTTTTTTCTGACTTTTCTCCTTAATTTATCTGTTTTCTAGTAGTTGAATTTTTTTTACCAAGTTTTAGATTCGATAGAAATTTATGTATAAGAATATTTTTCGTTTATATTTCTCAAATTCATGATTTGGTATACTTATTTTTCGTTTATTTTTCTGTTTTCTTTAAGAAAGTCACAAACGAGTATCTAATTTATGCATAAAGTTTTTATTCTAATTTGTTGTTTTAAGATACAGTTAAAAGCATACTCATTGCAACCTATCTCAAGTAGAAGTGAAACTAAAATTACCATTGCTGTGATAAGAACTCAACTCACACGAAGTGCAAAACAAGATTTTAATTCCAAAAATTTCTGTCCTTTTCTGCTTCATATATTCTGAAATTTTAATTTTTACAAACAACTCATCCAAACAGGATATTCAAGTTGCAATCTTTATTAGAAAGATATGCTATAAATGTATGGTTAACTTTGGATATTTGTTCTTTTGGAAGACAGAGGATTCTAATTTACAATAGTCAGTTTGAACTCTTTTTCAGCTTGAGAAACTAACCATGTATTATGTAGGACGGAAAAAAAAAGAGGAATTTTTAAAATTCAAATAAAAATGAATAGCTAGATTTTTTTTCTTTTTGTAAAAGAAATATTTACATAGACCATTATCCAAATTTTTCATTTTTATTTTCTCTCTTGTCCTATCATATTATAAAATAAGTTATTTATGAGTACAGTTCTTGATTCTTAATTTGTGTATAAATCAATGTTTTGAAAATCAAATAAAATCGGTTGGTGCCATTGGAAACCGACTTAAAATTGGAAACTCAGTTTCTAAAAAATTAGATTTTAAGTAAATTGATATAAAATTAAAAAGATTATTACAAAATCAATAAAATTTTAAAAAATAGCTGGGTTGTTACGTTAAACTAATTTTAGTAAAATACAGTAAAAAAAATAAAAAAAATATTTTTTTATTTTTTATCTCATATTAACTTTAAATAAAAATAATTTTATTATATTTTTATCTTATTTTCACTATTTCAGTCCTTCGCTCTTTGTTGGGATTCATATTTGTTCTCTTCATTCAAATTTATGACAACAATAATAATGACTTTCATAACCTCTTGAAATTATTTATTTTTTTAATAAAAATAGTTATTAATAATAAATTTATTATAATATTATTTTTTAAAATTATTGTTTTGTTAAAACCAGTTGATTGTTTAAATGTTCCTGGCTTCTGGAGCGTTCGAGTTTTAAAAACATTGAAGTTCTTGTATGATAAGGGAGAAATCCTGGTCAATTAAGTAGTTTGTCAATCATTACGTGTTAGATTAAATTCCTTATGTTTTGTAGACTATATTGAATAATTGTTAACAACATCTCATTCTGTTTTATTAGAGGTTTATTTTTTGGACTTACAATTTGGTATTCTGTTTTCGGTAATAATATTTGGTGTACGTTTTGGCATTTTGCAACACCTTGGTGATCTGAGCGGCGTTTTTTTTTTTTTGCTTCTCTCTTTCTTTTACCGCAGATTCGAAATGGTCATCTCACCAGACCGGAAGTAACAACCAGCAATTCTGATCTGATTAGTAAAATACATAGCACAGACCAGTACAGGGACGACAAATGAATCTTGGGAATACAGCAAATGGTCAAACTTCGTTCTGGCGAAGAATGGCTGTGCTTGACTCTGTTAGCGGCGGTGGAGGGACAACGAAGGCAACTGTGGCCGAGCAGATCTCGCAGGCGGTGCAGTCCACCTCCAACCTCCTCCACCTAATGCAGCACTCTTCTCCTACCCAGGTACCACATCAGCACTGCCAATTCATTGAAAATTTTAATAAATAAAAAACAAACTTTAAATTATGAAAATTTTATGTATGATAAGATGACCATTTTTGATTGTTGTGCATGCTGTTTGTTTGATGGTAGGGTTTTAATTACAACGATAAATTATCATTATGATACTGGAATGTATAAATTAGTGATTATTTAGTTCATTATAGAACGACAATTCTGATTTATTATATGGGAAAAGAAATGTGTCACAATGAAGACTTGTAGTTAAGTTTTGTGAGATAATTTTGTTATTAAGCTGTAATAATAGTTTGTGACCAATTTGATATTATGAGTTATTTTTCCAGGACCAATTTATTATTAAATTGTACAGTATGATGCAATTGCAACACTTTTTACACATTGAGGATTAAATAAGAGTGAAGTTTTTTTAGGGACTAAATTCATCGGTTTAAACATTGAGACCTAGATGATTTTTTACCCTAAGAGTTGTTAACACCGTTATGCAATCGTGTATTATCTTATATGTTAGATTTGTTGTCTTTTAGATTGAGTTCTTTGAAAGTCGAATTGATAATCTCTGATTGATTGACAATGAAAATCTTTAATTTAACTTTGCGTGAAAATTTAAGTTACTTCAAAAGTCATGGAGCAATTTCTAATTAATAGGCAGTAAAAATCTATAAACTGTTAACCAAAATATAGTTTTGATGAGTGTATCAAAATTAAACCCTGATTTTTAACCCTTTTTGTATCATTTGCAGGCTCAACTGGTTAAGCTTCCTAAGAACCTTTTGGCGATGGTTCCCACCATTAAGAATACAGAGCATGTATTTATCTGATGTAGGGTTGTAGTCTTGTGAATGAGATGACCCATCAATGTGAACAAGTGTGTAATGATGGTTGCTTTCTGTTTCTTGCTGCACAGGTTTTGGAGGAGTTACCTAGGGTGATATCATCTCTAGATGCACACATGGAAATTGGGTTACAAAAGTCTGAACCTTTGTATTGTCTAATTGAATATGCTGTAACTGTAATTTTGTCATATATTTTGGACCTAGGGTGCATATGATGTGTTTTGATCTGAAACCTTGAGCTAAAATGCTAAGTGCTAATATGCATCTTGAAGGTGTTGTGTTGATGCCTAGTACCGTTCGTTTTAGAGCATCGAGATTTGGTGTGAAATACAGATCATTGTGCGGGTTTTCTTTTGATTGTGGCTGATGTGGATTATGAATTTGCAGTGTTCCGCATCTGAAGACTGTGGTTCAGGTACTTGCAAATATAGAAAGTAGCCAACTTGATTTGCTATCTCAAACCAATCCTATCCAGAAGGTACAAATATAATAGCTTTGTCACTGATGCAGGTGTGAATATTGCTTTGTAATTAATTGAAAGTGAGGTTTAAAATTTAGAGTGTATGTTCTGATGGGAGAAAGCCAGGAACAAGAGAGCTTGACGACAAAGCCTTTCTTGTCGGTCTAATTCTATCTAAGATGTACCTTGCTCTCCCTGGGAAAAAAAAGAAAGGAAGAATGAATATAATAAGAAATATGCTTGAGGTGAACTTTGTGAATGACATTAGTGCTCTGTGTGACTGATCATTTTCTGTTTTTCTTAACAGGAACAGGAACATGAACCGGGAAACCAATCTCAACAGACCGGTTAAACAAACTTCTACAGCTTAGGAGTTTCACCTGTGACCATTTCATGCAGAGGTTTTGGAAGGTTAGGAACTGAGACTTGCTGTGTTTCCTTCTTGCAGTTTTTCTGCAAATCAAATAACAAAAAGTCGTTCCATCTTCTGATAAATGACTCAACTGAGAAACCTGTTCAATACTAATGAGAGTGTCCAAGTTTCAGATTGGGAATCTTGTCCAAAGAACTCAAGTTTAGGCCATTAATTGTTTAATGACAATTGTTATCTGCAATAGAAGTCCATGCATTTAATCTTATGTTTCTTTTCAACTTTGGGTAATTGCCAAATGTTATGTGCAAAATTATGTATCTTTTATTTAAATCAGTTTTGTTTAATTACTAAATTCAACCATCATCTATTTTTCATTTTTTATTTAAATATATAAAAGAGAGATTTGGGTGTAGAGAAGAAAGAAGGTAATGATTTAATTAAGACTGATAGACAAAGGTTAACTATCATATGCAGTTAATTAAGCCAGCAAAACCAATTCAAAAGGAAACGGGAAAACAACTACTTTGAAGAGGGCAGGGTATATTAAAACTGACGAAAATTATATGGGTTACATTTTACATCTGATCATTTTTACTGCTCTAATATAAACTGCAGGCACATTAACCCAATCTACCAAGACTTTTTTTTTGTATAGTTCAATTTATTTTTTACATATTCTAATCAGTTTTTCTTTTTCTGATTATTATGATAGTTTGGTCCCTAGATGAAGTACATAAATTGCAAAATCAGAAATATTGTGAGAGTTGATAATAGCATGTTTGGTTTAATATAATGTGATAGCTGAAAATTCTTGGGGATCACCTTCCAAAACAGTGAATCTTGTCTAATGTATTATTATGACAGTTCTCCTTGTCAGAAAGAATTAAGTTGTCACGTCTTTTCCTTGATGAATTTTATCAGTTTCCATGACTATTTTTCTTCTGCAACCAAATGCGTATACGGATCAATAGTTTCAAAACTTCTAAGTCATTTTAGATTTGTATTCGAATTAAACGAATGAACAATTGAGAAAAGGAAAAGAAAATCAGAAATTATATAAAGAAAAACAAAAATTATTTTATATCTAAAATGTCATTTACTCAATGGAGTAAATCTACTCAATTGGATCTTCTAATTTACCTAAAGATTATCTCAATTTATTTTGATCTTGTCAGATTTCTTGAAAAAAGAATCATTATTTACTTTTTTTTTATTTGTCTGTAATTTGATTTTTTTTCCCTAATGATGAAGTGATTCTTGTGTTATATGTTATGTTGCAAACTAATACTATTGAGCTCCTCCCTTGCAATCATAAACTTTATACATGTAAAATAATGCATATTTTATTATTAGATTTTTTAGAAGTTAAGATAATACACTATCTTATTCCATCATCAATAATAAAAGTTTTAAATTATTTTTTTCTGTAAATTTTAAGCTTAAAAAAAGTCACTTTTTACTTTTGGTATATAAAGCATGTTTCTTATAGTCAATTGTGATAACAAAAATTTATTATTGAATTATTTTGTTCACGATACTTTCCTACATTGCAAACGACAGAGTGATGTTTTCACTCATATTTAGTAGATGAACAAATTTAGAAAACAACACCTGATCCAACTACCACCACATGTTGCTTGCAACACTCAGCTTTTATGATTTTGTTTCTCAATTATATGTCCTTTGTTCACATTAATGATGATGATGAGAAAAAAATTAGATACAAAGTTATAAATATGGTTACTTTATTCTAGTCAAATTTATTTTATTAATCTATATAATAAATAATTTATCAAATATCATTGTATATAATTGAAATTATCAGGTTTAAATCTTTTAAATAGAAAAAAATGTGATGGAAAGAGAAAATCTCACTGGAAATGCTTAATTAAGTTCTATAATAAAAAAAATGTCATAAAAATTAATAAATATTTTATTCCATTAACATCGTTATAAAAAATATATGATTAAAATAAAATAATGAATGTAATTAAAAAAGTAAAATAATCAATATTATAATATTATATCTAAATTTTGTTTGATGTCTTCGAATATTAAGAAAGAAACAAAATACAATAAATTAAATCCTAATAAAAAGAAGATGTTAGTAAAGATTTAAAATCTTCTTTCCATATTTTCATAATTTCTTATTTTTTTAATGCATTTTTATAATTTATATAAAATAATTAAAATATTTTTTATTAATTTTTATTTGAAATCTTATAAAACTTTTTTTTTTAATTTTTATCCTCTTTTATCTTCATATCTTTTTTACCTTCTTATTCTTCTATTTTCGTTTTGTTCTCTTTTCATTTTTATTGAAAATTATTTTTAACTCATAAAATTAAAAATATTAACGTCTCACATATCAATTAAAACTAAATTAAAAATATACATCAAAATCTAGACTACTCCATCCAAAACATATTTTCGAACCGAAAAAATTAAGTTCCAAAAATATATTTCAAAATCACCCAATCCAAAATTATTACCAAAATTTATTATACCAGAACTATAAATCCTTTTACATCAATTATATTTTTTTATTACTTTTCAAACTTATTTTATATAATAAAAATTTAATATATTTTATATTTTTAGCATATTAAAGATGTTATCTTTTGAACTTTTTTAAAGTGTGATCTAATATGAGAATTTGAAAACAAATAAAAAATAACAGTATTCTTATTATATTTATGTACTCGATTTTTTTTTTCATATCTCATTTCTATATATATTCTTACATAATTATGTCTTATTTCTCAAACTTAAAAAATAAATTTGATTTTGTCTCCAGAATTAGAAAAGGTAATATCTTTTTGAAAGAAATTGTGACTTTAATTCATTAAAACTAATTTTCAAATATCAAGATTTAAAAAAAAAAAGAACTTATAGTCTATCAATTTAGTATTTAGAGATTTTTTTTTAAATTTGAGGGATAAAAATAAATTTATTTTAAATTTTAAGAAGTAAAAATATAATTAAATATTATTTATTTGCTATCATATATCTTATTAAAGCATGTATTAATTTGATTATTGGTTAAATTATTCAATTAAGCTACCGTCTCCAATAAAATAGTCTCAAAACATATAAAGATTTTAACTTTTCAAGCTTATTTAAAAATTTTACAATTATATTAAAAAGCGAAAACTAGTTAACTTGTTATTCAACTTTTTAAATTCATGCTAAACTCACCTAACTTAAGATTTTGAAATTAAATAGTATTGTGAAAATATGTAGTTATTATTTTATTAAAAAGAAACATACAACATTACTGTTAGCTATATTTGACTTTAATTTAGGTTCATTGAATTGATTTCATTTTTAATGAAATACTCTATAAAAGTACTATGAATCATTTTTTTTTTCTTTTCTTAATATCTCTTTCTTCTTCACATTCATTAGCTAAAAGAGGTTGATAATTGGGTGATAGTGAAAAAGGTCTTCAACACTTTAGAATAACCAATACATGATGATGGTGACTATTACTATGTTAATGGACTCAACTTTCCGTGCCATAACACCATCTTAATATATATCTATATATAACATTTAATACAATTAGTATTATTAAATCATAAATATATGAATTATATAATTTATATAATAAAGTTATATATGAATCACATAAATTATAAAATCATATATATATTTTTTAAATTATATAAAACTATGTAAAATTTTATAATTATAAAATTATATAAGTATATAATTTATATATTAAATTTTATAAATTGTGAAAATTATCTAAATTTGAAAACTAAATAATTATAAAATTATAAATTATATAATCTATATAATGAAATTTATAAAATTATATACATATGTAAATTTACAAATATAACTAATAAGATATAACAAGTTATATGATAAATTTAGATTACACTAACACGTATAAAAAATATACATTAATAATATGGTTTAAAAAAGATTATTCAGAGAAATAAAAACATTTGATAGTGTAAAATAGAAAAAAATTGATAATGTAAAATATTAGAACCCAGTGAAAATTACTCTTGAATAAAGAGGTAACGTGATTACTATTTTATATTTTATTTAAATTATTAATTTACAATTTTATTAAATAATAATATTTTTTTTAAATAAACTAATTTAATTAAATTATTGACATAAAAATAAATTTACAAATAAAAAATTCCTTTATACATATTATATATGATAATTAGTGATAAAAATTAAATTAAGTATTATTTAATTTTATTTGTTGATTTTTCTTTTATTTAAAAAAAACAAAATAAACTGACATTCAATGTATTAATTATTAAAAAGTTTTTTTAATTGAATTGTTGATGTTATTCAATTTCTTAAAATAATTTAAAAAAAAATTGTTAAACTTTTATTTTATTCGATGTTCCCAATAAAATATTTTAGTACCGTCAAACAAAATTCTTTTGAAAATGAAAAACATAGTAAAATAAGATAATATTTTAAAATAATATTAATATAATGCACAAATGGTATTTGAATTGAACTTTCATTTTTATAGACTTTTTAACCTAAATCAATTTAAGTTTTTAAATAGAAACGGGTGTTTAAAACTATGGTTCTAATATTTAAATATAGCATACAATCAAATAAAAGAAATACATAACTGAACTATTAAAGTTGCTTCATTAATAATATAAATTTTTATATCATCAAGTAATTAGAGTAACTCAAATATATATTTTTAATTATTATAAATTTGTAACCATATAACAGTCTATTATTAAATTACTTATCAACAAAAAATTCTTAAGCCAATCTAAACATCCAACTTGATAAAAAATTAACAAAAACATTCTCTATCAAGTTTAATAAAGTAACATTTTAATAATATAAATTCAAAATCTGAAAATAAGAATCCACGCATTGGTCAATCTTTACAAGCATATGTTCCATTATATATCCATAGTTTTTACGTCTAATATAAGAAGATCGACATTAGTAACTTATTTAAAGAACAACTTAGGTTACCCAAAATAACATATAATAAAGACCTATCACTAGTCTTCAAATATATAAGATGATTTAGATCTGATTGATGAATCAAAATTATCAAAACATTGAACTACAATAATTACAACCACATGTTCCGAGCAACAAATTTTAACAATGATGTAAAAATTATTGTTAATTTCTGTATTTTTTTTTTTTTCGCAATTTCCGAGTCCCTTACCACTGACATTGTAATATTCGGAGCAAGGACTGTCACGGCTCTGTCACATCACATGTCTCAGATAAAAAAAGTTGAATAAAATATTAATTGTTTTTTGGTGACAATTCAAAATTCTCCACTCTGACCAACAATTATGCTCTTATTAATGCATCACCCGTCCACGTGGCATCCGCGACAAATCATTGGGAACATCATCGGAGTGGGTCCCACATAATGATCTGAAGGTGGAGAGCGTGATGTGGTGATCAAGGGGTGTGATGCTGCCACGTGGTGAGTCCTAATGGACCTTGGTGCTGACCACCAACAGGGTAGTGTTCCCCAAAACGTTAAAGAAAAGGGTAGTAAGGGGTGCTAAGTTGTGAAGTGAAGAAGAAGGTGTTTTGAGGAGGGAATCAAGGAATCTTTTGAAGGGTGAAGAGGGTAAAGAGGTGAAGTGTTGGTGGGTTTTGCTCAGATTTCTTCTCTGTGCTGAGGGTATGTTCAAAGTTTCCAACTTGCATTGTGTGACATTGTTTGCTGCTGTTGATTTCTATTGCTTGAATCTCAGATTGGGAAAAATGCACTATTTTTTTTCTGGGTTTTGCCTCTTATGCATGGAAAGCTTAGTAATTTAAGTAGGCTGTTTTTTCTGCTGATGTGTAGAAACTGATTTGTTTTATGAGGTTGAAACCTGTGTATTTAGAAAGAAAAAAAAAAAATTAGGGTGGTTCAGGGTTTTCTTTTGGTGGAAGCATCTTTTTAGGTGGAGGGGTTTGTCCCATTCTCTCTCTATACAACTGTGGAATGGGGTTGTTCACTTGTTTGGTTGTGTTTTTCCTGAAATGGGTGTTTGTTGAATATAAAATTGGAGCAGTGGGTACACTAAGGTGAGGGTTTTTTATATAAGCTCATTGCTTTGCTCTGCCATCATTGCTCTTTGACTGTTGACATCCTCGTGTGTGTTAGTGAAATGATATTTAATATGAGCATTTGGTTTTTTGCTTTGTTTTGTTAAACTGGATTATGAACTTGGCAACTATGTGAATGGCTGTTGAATTTCCTGCCAAACATCAAAGGAATTGCCCACTGTTCCTTCTTGCAATGATTTTTTTCCTCTTCTATATGTGAAGTTAATGTTAAAGCAAACTATGCTGGCAATATATTTAAGATGAACAAGTTTGGCTACTTCTTTTGAGTCAGTTGTTTCTTTGCTGTAAAAGATTGAGCAAACCTGGCTTACATTACACCAAGCTGTATAGTTATACAAGGTAGGTTGTGCTTAGGTTACTTTAAAGAACGATGGGATAACACTATCCACTGTTTTTTCATTTAAAATTAATTGAACTAATATGATTTATCGAAAGTTATGTTTTCATTAGTATATCTGAAGAGCCTCAAGATTGCAAACTTGAGGCATCTGTTCCTACATTATAATATATATGTACACAGAATGCTGTAGTATTAATGTCTAAGATAAAGTGCTTGGGTGAAAATTATGAATATGTTTCATTTTATAGGTAAATCAGTAAGTGTCTCCTGAGAGTGCTGAAATTTTATAGATTAATTTAGTATTTGATTTGTTAATCGGGAAACTCAGACCATGAAATTTAAGTAGATGATACATGACAGGTTTGAATGATGGGGCATGGGTTATACTGCACTTGAAGTTTCTGTTTACTCAGATGCTGTTTACTTGGACTTTTAGGGGATGATATTCTGATTAGTGATTTTGGGAGGAAACTGGACATGAGTATGCTTGTGGGGATATGCTCGAACCGCGAGAATCTGATATACCTGTCCTGTTTCTGGTCCTGGTTGTGCTTCCCTTGGTGTCTTACATCTTGCTTGGAAAATGGAGTGAAACTTCTAAGAAGAGAGATAGGATAAATTTGCTTGCCCATTTGGCTGCTGAAGAAGCTCTGAGAGCTGAAGAAATGGCTGTGGCCGATGTAATTCCTCCAGTGTCTGCCTCAAAAAATGAACATCATGAGTGTGCTAGGTGCTCTGCTCCAGCCAGAACTCGCTGCTCCAAATGCAAATCTGTTAGATATTGGTAATTCTCTTAACTTATTTTAGCTGCAAATCTATTTTTCTTTGTCCCCTTTTTTCTCTTCACTAATTTCTGTGGAATCATTCTTTGAATTCTTATCACAATATCTATGTTGGGATTAAAAATACATGTCTGCTAGCTAGATTCAAGTTTTATGCCACTCCAAATGAAAAATACACTACCTCAGGAGTTGTGCTCAATAATTCTGAGATAGGTCATATCTAATCAATTTTCTCTAATTGCTATGAAAATTAGTTTTTGGCCAGTGAAATATGCCAGTTTTTCAATTGGTTGTCACATTGACAATTTGCTAAAATGGAACCTTTGTTGGAACAACTCTTTTTGTTGATTTCTCCATGACATCTTGCTTAAGGGTTTTCAAGGGTTTAACTAACGGAAATGAAGTGGAATGACTAAATTTTGTTGTTCTGATTTGGAAGAGAGAAGAAGAGGGGAGGCAAATTATATTGTGACCAATATTGAACAACTTTTCTATCTGCACTTTTATTTAATTTTCTTCTATAACATGATTGGTGGGGAAAATATTGTGTTTGACCTTAAGATTACTTCTCAAAATTTGAGCTGTAAGTGGTTTGCAGCTCTGGAAATTGTCAAATAATCCATTGGAGGCTAGTTCACAAGCAAGAATGCCAGCAACTGGAACCTCATAAATCAAGCTCATTTCCTATGGCTGTTTCAGTTGAGGAATTTGGTCATGGGAGTTACTTTTATGAAAATTTGAACAGCCAGTTGTTAGCTCCCAATTTCAAGCAGACTTTGAGGGAGAGTGCACCTATGGGCAATTTGGTTCACCCTTTGGCTGCCACTGCTGCTCCTGCTACAGCTGATTTTTCCCTATTTAATAATTTTCAACCTTCTACTTTTGAAAGAACTTCCCATAAATCCAACAGAGAAACACAGAGAAGAGATAATGGGTCTGTATATGAATCTTCTATTGAATCTTCTGATTATAAAGCTACAAGTTGTCTCCCAAGTGTGGTATCAAAGGATGCATTTATGAGACAGAAGGTTTACTTGTTTTACTTTGATATTCAAATTAACATACATTTTATAAGTTAATCAATACAAAATTGCTTATCATGATACTTAACTGTTACTGCAGTCAAGAAATAGCAATGATTCTGTGTTGGATGAAGAAATTTCAAATGTCAGTTCTGGTGGCTTTGGAGTTTACGTTAACAGACTTGATGCATCAAGAAACACAATTCATGAGGATGAAAACCATCAAAGTCAATATGGAAATGCATTTGTAACAAGAAACAATTATGTATGCCCAAGTGTGTCAAGTGCAGCAAACAATGACAACAGTGTTGATGAATTTCTAACTGACGTCGCCACTAAAGGTGTTAATGTAGTCAAAGGTGTAAATTATCATTCTGAGGAAGCAGCACAACACAAACGCTCTTCTGAAATGACAATCAAAGGAAGCATGAAAGCTAAAAAGATGATGCATACTCCCAAGACTCAATCTTCTAAATCACCAAAGTCAACATCAAAGACATCGACAGATTTTTGTTGCTCAGAACTAGAGAAGAAAGGGAAAACTGCAGATGAACCAAGTTAGTGTTTAAGATATCTTTTTCCCATATTTATTGTTTTAATGTCAATGTTTCCTGTAACTTGATGATTCTATGTTAAGGTATTGCTCCTGTCATGCAGAAGTTGCTAGCATTGGTGATAGCATCCCTTTATATGGTAATGGTAGCAATGGAGCTGCTGGTACTGTAATTATGAAAATGATGGGCTTGAGGAAATCAACCAAACCCTCTCCTCTGGCCTCTACAGAAGGCATTGATGTAAAGCTCAAGAAGGTGAAGAAGATAAAGGTCAGATTTGTGTCGCTGCCTACAAATTTCGATTCCTCTGTCCTCCTACTTACAATTTTCTATACCCATAAGTTAGAAAATGATGCCCTTACTAATTAATTGGTGTTTGATCATGTCTCAGATGTTGTTTCCTTATGATGAATTTGTGAAGATTTTCCAAAGTGATATCTTTGGCATATTCCCCAGGGGCCTCTTAAATTGTGGGAACAGGTAATACTAGCTCAATACATTGAAACTACAACTGTGATTTGTGATAAAATAGAAAGTAAATAATAGTCGATATTAACTTTTGTCCTGTGTCAAATGGTGCTGTACCTTAAGCAATAACTAGATTATTATTATTATTATTATGATATGAAATAAAAGCACATGTATGAGTTAGTTAATTAAAAAACCGATAATTGGTTAACTGGTTAACTCTTAGTAGACGGTTAACCAATAGATTCAGACATTCATCTTGAAAAACAAGTATTTTGTAATCTTGCAATCTCAATAATTTTTCGGAACTTATTAATCCATAAGGTTCCTTCTGAATTCTGTTATTCGAATTCTTATCAATTCCTAGGACTAGAAAGTTAAATAACGTATTATTATTATTATTATTATTATTATTATTATTATTATTATTATTATTATTATTACAGTGCACACAACACAAGTTTCAAGGGAGGGGAGGTCTCCCCATTTCAAGGCCACTTTTGCATCTTAACTGTCTTAATTTACCTATTGTTTTCATCTTGCTAGAATTTCCATAAATGAGGCCCAATTCCTTTATGGTTATATTCTGAATTATTGTTAACTTTCCTTTTTCATCATTTTATTTTGCAGTTGCTATGCCAATGCTGTCTTGCAGTGCTTAACTTCTACAAAGCCTCTTGTTGTCTATCTGCTTTATAGATCTCACTCAAAAGCCTGTATTTACATTTTCTCTAATCTATTCACTGGGACAAGAGTCAAGACTGAATTTTCTTTTAAGACACTTTATTATTAATTTTTTTAATGTCTTATTTTTCATTGAATGCCAGGTTGTGCTAAAGATTGGTGTCTCATGTGTGAGTTAGAGCAACACATAATGATTTTAAGAGAAAATGGGGCTCCTCTATCCCCAAGTAGGATACTTTGGCATATGCGGAGCATTAACTGTCAAATGGGGGAAGGAAGTCAGGAAGATGCCCATGAATTTTTAAGGTCTTGTGAGATTATCTTGCCTAAGCTTTTAGAATTTTTAATTTAGACACGATGTTTTCCTCTCAACACACCAATTTCCTTTATATTTAGTGTGTTGTTTCTATGGTGAAATTTAGTTGTGCTTGTTTGTAATTATGCTTAGTTAATGATAAATTAAATGTCTAGGCTTCTAATTGCATCAATGCAATCTATATGTCTGGAGGGACTTGGTGGTGAGAAAAAGGTTGATCCTAGACTACAAGAAACAACTTTCATACAACATACTTTTGGTGGTCGACTTCAATCCAAGGTTTGTATCCCTTCATTCCTTTTTCTCTTATATTTTTGGTCCCTCTGTCTACTCTTAGACAACAGTGATCTTAGTATTACATTTTTTTGATGGCTTAGTGAAATTTAATGTCTACAGGTTAAGTGTTTGAATTGTAATCATGAGTCAGAAAGGTATGAGAACATTATGGACCTGACGTTGGAGATATTGGGTTGGGTTGAGTCATTGGAAGATGCACTGACTCAGTTCACTTCCCCAGAAGATTTGGATGGAGAGAATATGTACAGATGTGGAAGGTATGATGATGTAACGTGTCTCTATTCTGTTTCTATTATGTGGATTAGTTGGTTAATTTAGTTATAATGAAAGGGTTTCATGAAAATTACAAAAAGAAAGAGCATTGTTAGATTTTTCAGTTCCAATTTTAGGGACTCTCACCTCTCTTTCTTTATACTTTTTGAACTAGGTGCACAGCATATGTTCGAGCTAGAAAGCAACTTAGCATACATGAGGCTCCTAACATCCTGACTATTGTTTTGAAGAGATTTCAGGTATCTCTTAGCTCTTGTAAGGCTTTCTCTACTGCCGTTCCTCTTTTGTTTGGGAGGCTTGGCTTAAATTTTTTCTTGCTCTCTTGTTGCTACTTATGGCTTGGTTGGTGTTGTGTTACTGTCATTTACTTTCTAGATTAAGGTTGGTTACAAGACATGAATTGACATATTCTAAAGCAAAAGCGTTACTACATATGTGTGTGTGTGGGTGGGTGGGCGTGTGGGTGTGGGTTCTTAGTGGAATTGTTTTTTCGTTTGTGTGAATGAGTGGGTTTGGCCAATTTCCAGAGATCCTCTTGAGAACAAAATTTAAATGGTATGGAAGAAGAAAAGAGCCAACCGTTTTGACAATAAGTTTTAAAGGGTATGGAAGAATGTAGGTTTAGGATCTTTTGAACTGTGCAGTTTTTTCTAGTCTTTGGTGCATATAATTGGAGAGGAATGCTTGGATTTTTCAAGGTGTTTATGCTATGTATGGAAATAGTCTACCAAATTTGGTTAATTAATTGTTCTGTTTATTACATTTTTGGTACAATGTATTGATATGATTTATCTCAAAAGTTTGCTAGTTAATGTCACTTATAAATAATTCTGAAGATGAAAAACTTCACATTAATTTGTCCATTAATAAAAACGGAGATTAAATAAATAATAAATGAATCTGCTAGCCAGTGTTGAGTTCATTGAAACTGTCAGTCTTGAATTATCTATATTTGCAGTTTGTTTCATAATTATTGTTTTTGCATCTTATACTTTAGGTACCTGATAATGTTTTAAATGCCATCATTTTCTATATATCGACTCTTCAGAATATCTTGTTTCTGTATCATCAGGAAGGAAGATATGGGAAAATTAACAAGTGTATAACGTTTCCTGAAATGCTGGATATGATTCCATTCATGACTGGGACGGGTGATATTCCACCACTTTACATGCTTTATGCTGTTGTTGTGCACCTGGACACACTAAATGCATCTTTCTCTGGACACTATGTTTCATATGTTAAAGATCTGCAAGGCAATTGGTTCAGGATAGATGATACTGAGGTAATTCAATTAATTACCTTTTGCAATATTTTGATGTAATTGGCAATCTAGTGGGTGTAATTGTCATGAACTAAGAAACTACCTCAAGCCCAAGTTAATGCGTTGAAGCATCAGAATATTTATATATATCTAATCATTTTCTTTTGCTGCTTAACATCTTGCATTCAAGTCGTGTGTGTTGGAATAACTAGATACCTTCTAAATTTGGGCTTGCCATGCTTTCCGTGCTGTGTTATTAATACTCTTCAAGTTTGCGTCTGAGTACCAAAGATTTCTAACTTTCAAGTTCAATTCAAATTACAAATCATTTCATGTGGTCACTGCGTGGCCTGATTACATGGTAGATAGAATTGCCTACCTGTTTAATTTGCCCTTTGTATTAAGCTGATTGAATTTTTATGGATATGAAGTAAAAGAAGATGATGGATTTGAATTAGCACGGCACAAAAACCGAGATACTTGATTGTGTTTCCCTATGAAAATGTTTAAATAATGCAGTATGTATTATCTGTTGTGTTTTTGCTGTAGAATTGTTGTTAGGACCCAGAATAGAAAATAAAATATAGAAATGATAATAAAGGTATTTGGAGCGAAATTTAATAGAACTAGGAGTAAAAAGTTCTCTACCAAGGGTTTCCCTATCTCAAATGGTTTTCCTTTCCAAACAAATCTAATTTTCTGAATGTTTCTTTCCTACCTTATTACCCCAATTTATCAAATTGACCCCCTTTAAATAAGTAATTTTTCCGACTATCCCTAGCTAATTTTCCCTTATGTCTGGACTCCTAACAGGAGCTTTGACGTAATTGATAATGAGTGAAACACAACTTCAACTTTAGACTCTTCTGTTGAATTCTTTCTTTCTTGAATATTAATAGCATTTACTGAAAGACTGTACTGCCATGATAATGAGATTTTTCTGCATTTCCATCGGATCTAGGGAAGTGAACAAACTGCAGTATGTATCTTTAGTGGTATTGTCTATGTTTCATATTAATGATATGCTCAAATATTTAAAACTCATTTTTTTCTAAAATTTTTTATGTTTAACAGGTTCAGCCAGTGCTAATTAATCAGGTCATGTCAGAAGGAGCATATATCTTATTCTATATGAGGTAGAGATTTAGTTGACGTAAAAGTGATTGTAAATTTCTTTCCTTTATCTGAGTACAGTGGCATTAAATATGTTCATACTAACATGCTTGGTTTTGTTGTTGTATTTGTAAGTGTTACATTTTTGGCAAATTCCCCTCCTTTGTCAATAAAAGAAAGAAAAATTCAAAATGTCAAGTCAACTAAGAAGAAGGTGGACTTTATTTGGGATGTTGTTATTTTATCTTATTTCTTTCATTTACTTGAGGTTGTTATCTAATAAAAGCTACACTTGTTGTATAAGTGACGGCTTGAAAGTAAATTAGATTGACCATACTTGTTTTCAGATCCCATAAGAATGCATTTTTTACCGATTCTTCCTCAATCAGATCCTATTTCTGGGATTTTATGAATTGTGACCTTGGTCCATTCATTATGAATGTCAGTGCATCTTTTATTGCATGCTTGTATATACGGTTGTATTTTTAGAACTGTTGATTTGTTGGTAGGTCTTGTCCCCGTCCTCCAGTGGAACATACAGGGAAAGCCACACCACAATCAGTTTATGATTCTTCAAAGCACAATGCAATGGAAATGCAGAAGCCTAAACCCGGACATGGAAGGCATGGCAGCCAGTGTTTTGTCCCAGAACCGTCACCCAATGGCAGGCCAGAAATTGCAACTTGCATTATTGACACCACTAATGGCTTCCTCAGAAAGAGCACCAATAGGAATGCCCTGCCAGTGACACAAACATATGCTGACAACGTCAGGCACGAGTTTTCAGACGCCACATCAAGCGACTGGTCCCTTTTCACAAGCTCTGATGAGGCTTCTTTCACAACTGAGAGCACCAGGGACTCCTTCAGCACCGTAGACTATGGTGATTCATGTAACATGGATCCAATTTCATCTATCTTCAACTACACCCCTGAAAAGTCCTACATGAAGTTTTCACATAGTAGGCCAGTTACCAGGGTCTTTCCTGGAAAGGGTCATGTTGAACAAGTACAGAGAATAGATCACTCTAAAAGGGTAAGCCATTCTTCAAATGAACATCCTCCAAATGGGAATTGTGGCATGTATGTATACAATGGGAGTAATACCCGGACTTCTAGTTAGTGTGAATTTTTAGTCTTTGGGGGATTCCTAACTTGTTGAACTGATTATTAGATGCAGTAGGTGCTGTGCCTCAAAGTTTTCAATATTTAGTTGATTGAGGCATATAGTTCTTTTAAGCACAGATGTATTTTATTTTTATTTTTATTTTTATTGATAATTGTAAAGATGACATCATCGTTCCTTGTTTATCTATTAATCCATCAAAGTCTTTTCCTAGTGTCATCACTGTTCCATTTCATTGAACTTCAAGAATGTTTTTAAACTTGTGTTATTTGTTTCCGGAGCCATGCAAATGTGCATCTAGGATGCATTATAATATTTAAAACATATAGAGAATACTTATATCATTATATAACTTAATCAAATTCATTCTTAATAGCTTCTCACTTAACGTGAAATTCTTGTATACATCAGATATAAATTAAACAGAACAATAGTTTATGTATCATTTAAATAATCATAGAAGTTTGTGTCATGCAATTACTTTCCATTTAAATCAATAATGTGTTTGCAAATGCATATTTTTATCAAATACTGATTTTTAAGTTGACCAAGGCCAAGAAAATTGACCCTTCAACCGATGGCATACCGATAAGCAGGGTTCTTTGATATCCTCTGACATATTTGCAGGAATCATTATGAGGTTTTTACGAGTCACCAGGGGATAACAACCATTAAACAAGCCAACTCTAAACACATGACACTGCTCCCTCCACCCAACACCATTCCAGCACAGAAAATACAAGTCAAAACAAGATATCACTCTGCACATACCCACAAATCTTAGCAAATTTGTCATATACGTACCGCATGATGACTTAAAGTTTTAAACACATGCTAATTGATAAAGAAAATATTTTGTCGTAAGTCCATTATTATGAGTAGTAAACTTTTAATGAGTTTTTAAATAAATTATTGGATATTATTAATAAGATTTTGGATAAGAAATTTTCGAATATTAGACTAGTGGAAAATTTTCAGTAACAATGTTAGAGAAATACATAACATTTATGGTTTCAAGTTTGTTTAAAATTATTTTGGAAAGAATGGTAATTAGGAACAAATAAGGAAGATTGGTAAAAGAAGATTTGTTTTATAAATCGTATTCATATCTTCTAACACATAACTAAAATAACAATGTTTTGATAAGACTAAGAGTCTCTTACAAGATCAATCTTCGCAACGTACATTTGAATCTTTTTTCGAGCTTATTTCAAGTCGTTGAACGCATACTTATTGGTATGCTCGAGTTTCTTGGTTTGAGGCGTGATTGGTGTGTATGTAGAAAACACTCTGATGCTCATGTTATTTATACTACCGTGTTTGAGTCTTGTTGGTGAGCTTCAGCTTCTAGGTGCTCCTGGCTACCATCCTAGTGAGGGGTCTAATTGCGAGCCCACAGTAGGCGTGCCTGATGGGACCTTGTGGCCATATGGGCATATGTTGAATTATTGGCAAGCGTACCAAAATTATCAATCGCAGTATAGTATTTCGATTAAATAAAAGTCGATCCCACGAGGAACGGTTTCAATGGAAATTCCCAATTATATGCTTACTAAGTATATTAAAACAGAATGGGTTTTGCATAAAGAGTTGAATTGAAATTTAATGACAAAAAACTGTAAATTGTTGAGAAAATATCAATTTAAGGTACTTAGGATTGACTTCCTTCCTTATCCCTCTTTTGTAATGACTATATCAATTAAGAACGTCAATTAACCTAACAATGTTGATGCCACCTACTCAAATCATCCATGTTGATTCCTCACACATGAAATTCATAAGAAAACCTAATAAATGTTGATTCCACACACAATTAAGAGATTTTCCAGCATTAGGTTTAGGGTGTTAAGCAATTGATACATTCATTCCATTCCTGACAATTAACGTAATAAATATTCTTACCGTGATCTAGGGTTCAAGATATATTTTCCAATCATACCCCAAACATCAAGAATAAATCATTCCAAAGCACAAAGGATAAGAATAACAACATCAAAACATAGATTAATATCTCAAAATATCACCATGATACAAAAGAGTTCAAAGGAAGTGCACCGAATCCTAAGAGAATGAAGTTAGCCACTCATGTTGGCCATTACAATGATCAAATTGTGGAAGAAGTGAAGAATTGATGAAGATTGGACGAAACCCTAGCAGTAGTCACGCCTCTTCTCCTCCAAAAATGTTTCCTTTTCTCAAAACACATCTTCTCTTTTTATTGGAAAAATTTGGGCTTTTGGGCTTCGCGTCTTTCGCTCGAGCGAGAACTTTCGCTCAAGCGAAAGTAGCCTATTTTTGCTCAAGCGAAAAAATGCTTGCTTGAGCGAATGAACTCCAGAGAAGAATAACTAACATTCGCTCAAGCGAATTTTCCTGCGCTTGAGCGACTGACTTCTAGAGAAGAATAACTGATATTCACTCAAGCGAATCTTGGCTCGCTTGAGCGAGTGAACTCCAGAGAAGAATAACTAGCATTCACTCAAGAGAGAATCCATCCCGCTTGATCGACTTCCCTGCTGAAAATCTTCTTCCTTCTTCCAGTTTTACTCCAATTCTGCTGTCAATTATGCTCTTTACTCTTGTATCAAGGTATTCTTGAATTCATCCTATATTGAGAGAAAAATAGATTATAATTAGCATCAGTTAAGTGATTTCATAACAATTCAAGGTATAATTATATCAAATTTTTACCACTTAACAACTCTCCCCAACCTAGAATCTTGCTTGTCCCAAGCAAAGTAGTTTTTCCAAAATAAAACCATCACCTATTATCACTTTCTCTTCCAGAACCACAACATAAAAATTTTCAGAGGTGATGCTCTCAACTCCAAATGAAAATAGAACACATAAGCATTCAAGTTATAGAAACCAACAAAGAATAATTAGTCATCAACTATCCTCAGAGAAGCATGATATCTCAAAAAGAGTTATATATACTCATCTCTAATTCTCACAGGTAAGTGTTTATCTCATTCAATCACTTCATTTAGACAATCCAATATTGATAATCATCTTCAAGCAATCAACATTTGTTAAGCAAGACTTAAATCAAAAGGTCTTTTGAGGCTTGTAATGGGGCTGGACTAAGAAAGAATTATTGGTTTTTCTGGGATATACAAAAATATTTGAGAAATTCAACTCATATGAATGATTATTGATTAACAATTCCTCAAGTCAGGTTTCAACTTCATGCTTTTGTCCCTAACACAATGATAGTAAGTTAATAATCTCACAAGTTATTATTCCCCCCTTGAACTACTTTTATATTTTTTTTCTTTTCTCATGCTTTTGCATGTATTCTTTTTGGCTTTGCCAATTTTTAAGCTTTGCTTTTCCTTTTTCTTTACACCTTTTTTTTTTTTAGAATAACACCCCAATAATACCTGTAGGACAACAATAGCAATACCTAACAATAAGAAAAATAGTGACATTCATACTCATTTCCTTTCTCAAATATAGGAAGGTAGATAAATAATGTTTAGGCTTAAGGGTTCTGTTTAAGAACAATATTATTTTTGGCTCAGAAAGGGTTCAAATGGATGCCCTATACTTAATGCAGGGTTGACTATTTGGCTCTGGGTTATATCTACTATAATGAAAGAAATGTCTTTATCATTTTCAAGTCTTATTAACACGCAATCACATCAAAGAATCAATCAATACCAGTTATCATCACAAAGTGTTGACACACAATTTATCTGTTTTTGGTTCTCTACTCACCTGGGTTTTGGCTAGCTTCTCCGATTCAGTTAATTCCTAATTCTCCTCATCAATTCCTTTTCACTATCATACTCATCATCCCAAAATCACTTGTTATTGGAAATAATCAAAATAATTTTTCACGTTCCAGATTTGAATTAGACAATAAGCAACAATCTCATATATGACTCTAAAACAAATTATGGGACAACAAGGGAATTTAAAATTTAAAATAAAGCAATTAAAAATATTAAATTAAAAACATTAAAAATAAAGTCAGTTTCCTCCCTCATTTTCTTCACTTGTCATCTCCTCCTTATCTTGTGTCTCAGCCTCAGCTGCAGACTTTTTCACCCCCTCCTAAAAAGTTGGACTGTCCCCAGGCCATTGAAGTAAGGCTTCAAAGTCTTGAGGAGAAGTTCACTGTGTACCTGGAGCAATCTTGCAAAGAAAGAGCCTAAGGAAGAAAAATGCACAAAAAACTTAAACCGCAACAAGAAAAAAAAAACAAATTCAAAACATTGGGTTGCCTCCCAGGAGCGCTTGTTTAACGTCTTCAGCTCGACGCCTATTTGCTTTAGGGTTCATGCAGGTGAGTGATCAAGGTGATCTATACGCATTCTCCATCCCTTGACTGTCCTTGTGGGAATGAATTTATTCTTTTCATTGCGAATAACCTTACGACTGTTAGAGATTGGATAAATCATACCTGCTTCAAGAGTTTTCAGTACCTATCTTTGAACAACTTCCTTCATAGTCAGATTGAGATGTCTTTGGGGTTGTGCAACAGGCTTGTAATCTTGTTTTTCAGTTGAGACGGGTAATTCCTCCAAAGTATCTATTCTGAGGTAATCTTTCTTGTCTTTCGATTGTTGTACAACTTCAAACAGATTAAAAGTAATTTCATCATCTCCGCTTCTAATTTTCAACTTGCCCATGTCAACATCTATAATTACTTTGTCAGTCTTCATAAATGACCTTCCCAGGATCAATGAGACTTCCTCATTTTCCTCCATGTCCATAATTACAAAATCAACAGGAAATATGAATTTATCCACTCTAACTAAAACATCTTCTACTACTCCGTAAGGAATCTTTAGAGATCTGTCAGCTAGCTGCAGTGTCATTCTTGTAGGCTTTACTTCCAAGTACCCTATTCTTTTAAGCATAGACAAAGACATTAAATTTATACTAGCACCCAAATCGAGTAATGTCTTACCTACTTGTAATGTCCCAATTGTGACTGATATAGTGAAACTGTCAGGATCCTTGTACTTTTGAGGTAATGATTTCTGAAT